GGTAGAGAGGGAGGGAGGGAGGAGGGAGAGAGAGAGAGAGAGAGAGGGAGGGTGGGAGGGAGGGAGGGCGGGAGGTGAGAGAGAGGGAGGGAGAGGGCGGGAGGGAGAGATGAGAGGGAGGGAGGGAGGGAGGGAGGGAGAGTGGAGAGAGAGATTTAGAGAGAGAGAGAGGGGGGAAGGGGAGGGAGGGAGGAGAGAGACGAGAGAGAGAGAGGAGAGAGAGAGAGGGAGGGAGGGAGGGAGGGAGGGAGGGAGGGAAGGTGGGGGGAGGGAGGGGGCAGAGGAGAGAGAGAGGAGGGACTAGGGCAGGGAGGGAGGGTGAGGGAGGGAGGCAGAGAGAGAGAGAGAGAGGAGGGATAGGGAAGGGAGGGAGGGAGGGAGGGAGGGTGGGAGGGAGGGAGGGAGGAGAGAGGGAGAGAGGGAGGGAGGTGAGGGAGGGAGAGGAGGGAGAGAGGGAGGAGGGAGGGAGGGAGGAGAGAGGGAGAGAGGGAGGGAGGAGGGAGGGAGTAGAGGGAGGTGGGAGGGAGGGAGGGAGAGAGGGAATGAGAGGAGGGAGGGAGGGAGGGAGGGAGGGGCAGGGTGGGAGGGGAGGAGGGAGGGAGAGAGGGGAGTGAGGGAGGGAGGAGGAGGGACGGGAGAGAGGGGAGAGGGAGGGAGGGAGAGAGAGGGAGAGAGGGGAGGGAGGGAGGGAGGGAGGGGGGAGGGAAGGAGGGAGGGGAGGGTGGAGAGAGGAGTAGAGAGGGTGGAGGGAGGGTGGGGAGTTTGGGAGAGAGGGAGGGAGGGAGGGTGAGAGAGGGAGAGTGGGAGGGAGGGAGGGAGGGAGGGAGGGCTGGGAGGGAGGACATTAGACAAATAATTACTGATAGAAATACAAGACATAGACAAACAGATAAAAAATCTTTATAAAACCCAAGTCCACAAATACCATATGGAAGTCAGGCTTTGTTCCCCCCTGACTCCGTACTACCGACAGAGAGCCACCCAAATCAAGAAGGCAAGACAGAAAGACACTCCCCCCCCTCCCCTCTCTCCCTCCTCTCTCCTCCCTATCTCTCTCACCCCCTTCCCTCTCTCCTCCCTCTTCCCTCTCCCTCCTCTCTTCTCCCCCCTCCCCTCTCTCCCTCCCTCCTTCCCTCCTCCCCTCTCCTTCCCTCCCTCTCTCTCTCCCCCCTCCCTCTCTCCCTCCTCCTCCTCCCCACTCCTTCCCTCCCTCACTCCCTCCTTCCCTCCCTCCCCCTCCTTCCTCCCTCCTCTATAACCTCCCTCTCTCTCTCCCCCCTCCCTCTTCCCTCTCCTTCCATCCATCCACCCCCCCCCCCACCTTCCCTCCCTCCCTCTCTGCCTTCCTCCCCTATCCCCCCTCCTTACATCCCTCTCTCCTCCATCCCTCCTTCCCCCTCTCTTCCCCCCTCCCTCTCTCCACCCTCCCCCCCTACCTTACCTCCTCTCTCCCTACATCCTCCTTCCCCCTCTCTCCCCCCCTCCCTCTCTCCCTCCCTCCCCCCTCCTTCCTCCCTCCTATCCCTCCCTCCCTCCTTCCCCTCACTCTCTCCCTCCCTCCCTCCTTCCCTCCCTCACTATCCTTCAATCCCATCCCCCCTCCTTACCTCCCTCCTCCCTCCCTCTTCCCTCCCTCACCTCCTTCCCTCCCTCTCTCCCCCCCTCCCTCTCTCCCCTCCTCCCCCCCTAAAAAATGGAACGTTGTAATTTTGACTTGTTACAACAACAAAGAAGTCTTCAGAATAAAAATGGACAAGATCTTCATCGGGAGCCAGTTCAACCAGACTGTGATGGGTTATTTGGGACAGGGGCCAGCAGCAGCACAGTCTGGATCGAACAGGGTAGCACAGGACAAGCATTGGACCATGAATGTGATAGGAGCCACACAAACAACTCTTGGAAATCATCAAGCAACCATACAAGTCTTGCATATCCCCCTCCCCTCCCCAAAAAAAAAAACCCCCACTCAAAATAAAAAAACCAGAATAAAGTTTGAGTACTCACTCTCACAAGTTGAGGCATGATAGAAGACCAGGTGGGCACAAGCATCACACCAGGATGGGCAGTCTAGGGTAGTAGGTCTGAAGGTGTGACCCTCACCTGGCCGGCTGCCCTCCACTCTCACATAACATGGGTTCTGTGTATGTACACACCACCATACACCTCAAATTATACATTGAACCACAGTTACTCAAAACATTATTTGATCCTAAAAACAAAAGTTTTTCTGAAATCTTACATTATACAACATAAACTTTAATATTCTTATTAATATTATTACTATTATTATCATCATTTTACTTTTAAATGCACCAGAAGGCATATTTATAATTTTATTAGTCTCAACATGCCAGCCCAGTAAGATTCATTCAACTTGGCATTTCTGTACACCATAGGAAGGTTAGCATGGGGCCCCCACTGTCACCATAAATAATGGTATGTAATGCACCACACAGAAACAAGCGGAGGTATATAAAGAGAAAGGTCTTGGTCAGCAGGATTTGAACCCACGTTTGGAAGACAGCATAGTTCCCTATGTGACGCCTTAGACCACACAGCCACAGGTGCCTGAAAACACAAGGTAGCCTGGTTACAAGCCATGTTTCTTCCTTGCATCAGGCACACCAGTGAGCCTTAGGCATGGTTGCCAGCCATGTCATCCAGGCTCACTGGTAAGCCCAGCACTAGGAAGAATTATAGCTTGTAACCAGGCTACCTAGCATTCTGAGGCATCTGTGGCTGAGTGGTCTAAGTCATCACAAAGGGAACTATGCCACCTTCCAAATGTGGGTTTGAATCCTGCCGAGGAAGATATTTCTATGCATATATGGTAAAGTCATTTTAATGACTAAAATAACTGGTGCTCAGTCTTATTCATTATTCTCTTATAATAGCAAGGGAAATTCTCATATTTATTAAAAGTGACAAGCAAGACAGTCAAGAAGAATTTGTCGCATTTTGACACAAGATTCATACTAAATTTCCACAGTACATCAGACGACCTGCACAAGACTCAAGCTACACACAAGTAGATAATAATAATAATAATAATAATAATAATAATAATAATAATAATAATAATAATAATAATAATAATAATAATAAAAATTTGTAATTTTATAATTCCTGAACATCTAGAGAGTAAAACTGATAATATATATTTTCAAATCAACACTATTTACTGGACTATACTTTAAAGGCAGCAATATTCAACAAATGCATTTTAAATGCAATCTAACAATTATTGTCATAACAATGCAGGAGTGCTAAATCCATAAGGGTCATAAATCACCAGGGGAAAAAGAGGTAATCAGGTTTGATCCATGAAAGGGGAGCAAAGTTTGAATTCCTTGGATTAAGAGCCCTTCACCAGCATCAAGGCACCCCTATTGAAGGGGTATCTAACACAAATTATAAAGTAATAATTGATCTGCTTCACAACTTCATTACTGTGCTATAACATTTCTCCTCGTGAGACAGCATAAATATCTACCAGTAAATAAAGTGTACATATATAAGTACACAGGTGATATCACAATATGCTGAACAACCCTGTGAAAAAATAGTGAAATTCCAAGCGCTTGGAATTTCACTATTTTTTTCACAGTGGTTGTTCTGCAAATATATGTACATATAATATATTTGTAATATGTATAATAAGGCCTATGTTTCGTGGCATATAATTATCTTGTAAATCTACAATTTTAATAAATATGAGCTTATAAATGTATCTTTCCGAACCATTATGAGAAGACAGCAAAGACTTTTATAACTAAATGCATGCTATGCTAAAGGTACCAAAGCTTAATACAAAAACATACATGCAAGGCATAAATTTATGTCACGGAGATGGTAAACTTATCGAACATTCACTTGAAAAAATATCACATGTATTAACTTCAATGGTTTACTGTGGATCCAAGCAATGATGCAGTACATACAATTATGGATACTCCAAAACAATGATAAAGACGAATAAGTTACAATACTGTGGTTGGAACAATTCACAAATATCCTGCACTTTTCAGGGAAACTTATGGTCAGCTTTTGGGCCATCCTGGGCCATTGTCAAGTCACAACAAAGTAAGAAAAAGCAGAGAAGACTGAAAGACAGATTGGAAGGAGGGAGGCTGATTAAAGAGAGTGCTAGTAGTGATAGAATTACCTTCAACTTTCACTTCCATTTACTAGTCTACACTGAGGGACAATACGATCAAACATGCATTATAAGAGCACCACTAATATTCAACCTAAACTTACCCACAAATCAAAAAGTAATACATACAATACAAAGAACTCAAAATCGTTACAATGGTCAGTCTCCAGAATCCCTGTAACTCAACAAATATAACACTCCCATACGATCACCTCCCTGTTTCACTAATTCCTTCCATTTACAACTCATAATTTCCCCTAGGTGTAATAAAAAAAATTACTGCATAAATCTTCATTACCAAGAATTGACACGCATGTTTACAAATACAGTACTGTTGTAAATACATTTCATTTTTTCTCTGTCAAAATGCCATACAGTATTTACAAATGTTTTTGTGTTGTGAGCTAAGTATTACCAGGGTTTGTATTTGAGGAAACTGCAGATAATATTCTTACAGTATTCACACAGTGCACAAACTTTGTAATTTTTAAGACTGGATGTGCTTCTAACTCTCACACTGGTTTCTGCTGTCCAGATGCTGCTCCCGTAGCTCGGTTGGTAGCACACTCAACTCTCACACTGGTTTCTGCTGTCCAGATGCTGCTCCCGTAGCTCGGTTGGTAGCACACTCAACTCTCACACTGGTTTCTGCTGTCCAGATGCTGCTCCCGTAGCTCGGTTGGTAGCACACTCAACTCTCACACTGGTTTCTGCTGTCCAGATGCTGCTCCCGTTTGCTGGTTGGTAGCACACTCAACTTCACACTGGTTTCTGCTGTCCAGATGCTGCTCCGTAGCTCGGTTGGTAGCACACTCAACTCTCACACTGGTTTCTGCTGTCAGATGCTGCTCCCGTAGCTCGGTTTGGTAGCACACTCAACTCTCACACTGGTTTCTGCTGTCAGATGCTTTCTCCCGTAGCTCGGTTGGTAGCACACTCAACTCTCACACTGGTTTCTGCTGTCCCGATGTGCTTTCCCCTAGCTCGGTTGGTAGCAAAACTCAACTCTCACACTGGTTTCTGCTGTCCAGATTGCTGCTCCCGTAGCTCGGTTGGTAGCACACTCAACTCTCACACTGGTTTCTGCTGTTCAGATGCTGCTCCCGTAGCTCGGTTGGTAGCACACTCAAACCCCACACTGGTTTCTGTGTCCAGATGCTGCTCCCGTAGCTCGGTTGGTAGCACACTCAACTCTCACATGGTTTCTGCTGTCCAGATGCTGCTCCCGTGCTCGGTGGTAGCACACTCAACTCTCACACTGGTTTTGCTGTCCAGATGCTGCTCCCCTAGCTCGGTTGGTAGCACAACTCAACTCTCACACTGGTTTCTGCTGTCCAGATGCTGCTCCCGTAGCTCGGTTGGTAGCACCCCTCAACTCTCACACTGGTTTTGCTGTCCAGATTTCTGCTCCCGTAGCTCGGTTGGTAGCACACTCAACTCTCACATGGTTTTGCTGTCCAGATTTCTGCTCCCCTAGCTTCGGTTGGTAGCACACTCAACTCTCACACTGGTTTCTGCTGTCCCGATGCTGCTCCCGTAGCTCGGTTGGGAGCACACTCAACTCTCACACTGGTTTCTGCTGTCCAGGATGCTGCTCCCGTAGCTCGGTTGGTTTGCACACTCACTCTCACATGGTTTCTGCTGTCCAGATGCTGCTCCCCTAGCTCGGTTGGTAGCACACTCAACTTCACACTGGTTTCTGCTGTCCAGATGCTGCTCCCGTAGCTCGGTTGGTAGCACACTCAACTCTCACACTGGTTTCTGCTGTCCAGATGCTGCTCCCGTAGCCCCGGTTGGTAGCACACTCAACTCTCACACTGGTTTTTGCTGTCCAGATGCTGCTCCCGTAGCTCGGTTGGTTAGCACACTCAACTCTCACACTGGTTTCTGCTGTCCAGATGCTGCTCCCCTAGCTCGGTTGGTAGCACACTCAACTCTCACCCCTGGTTTTGCTGTCCAGATGCTGCTCCCGTAGCTCGGTTGGTAGCACACTCAACTCTCACACTGGTTTCTGCTGTCCAGATGCTGCTCCCGTAGCTCGGTTGGTAGCACACTCAACTCTCACACTGGTTTCTGCTGTCCAGATGCTGCTCCCGTAGCTCGGTTGGTAGCACACTCAACTCTCACACTGGTTTCTGCTGTCCAGGGTGCTGCTCCGTAGCTCGGTTTGGGAGCACACTCAACTCTACACTGGTTTCTGCTGTCCAGATGCTGCTCCGTAGCTCGGTTGGTAGCACACTCAACTCTCACATGGTTTCTGCTGTCCAGATTTCTGCTCCGTAGCTCGGTTGGTAGCACATCAACTCTCACACTGGTTTCTTTCTGTCCAGATGCTGCTCCGTAGTCGGTTGGTAGGGACACTCAACTCTCACACTGGTTTCTGCTGTCCAGTGCTGCTCCGTAGCTCGGTTGGTAGCACACTCAACTCTCACACTGGTTTCTGCTGTCCAGATGCTGCTCCCGTAGCTCGGTTGGTAGCACACTCAACTCTCACACTGGTTTCTGCTGTCCAGATGCTGCTCCGTAGCTCGGTTTGGTAGCACATCAACTCTCACACTGGTTTTCTGCGTCCAGATGCTGCTCCCGTAGCTCGGTTGGTAGCACACTCAACTCTCACACTGGTTTCTGCTGTCCCGATGCTGCTCCGTAGCTCGGTTGTAGCAACCCCAACTCTCACACTGGTTTCTGCTGTCCAGATGCTTTCTCCCGTTTGCTCGGTTGGTAGCACACTCAACTCTCACACTGGTTTCTGCTGTCCAGATGCTGCTCCCGTAGCTCGGTTGGTAGCACACTCAACTCTCACACTGGTTTCTGCTGTCAGATGCTGCTCCCCTAGTCGGTTGGTAGCACACTCAACTCTCACATGGTTTCTGCTGTCCAGATGCTGCTCCCGTTTGCTCGGTTGGTAGCACACTCAACTCTCACACTGGTTTCTGCTGTCCAGATGCTGCTCCCGTAGCTCGGTTGGTAGCCACACTCAACTCTCACACTGGTTTCTGCTGTCCAGCTGCTGCTCCCGTAGCTCGGTTGGTAGCACACTCAACTCTCACACTGGTTTTGCTGTCCAGATGCTGCTCCCGTAGCTCGGTTGGTAGCACACTCAACCTCACACTGGTTTCTGCTGTCAGGGTGCTGCTCCCGTAGCTCGGTTGGTAGCACCACTCAACTCTCACACTGGTTTCTGCTGTCCAGTGCTGCTCCGTAGCTCGGTTGGTAGCACACTCAACTCTCACATGGTTTTGCTGTCCAGATGCTGCTCCCGTAGCTCGGTTGGTAGCACACTCAACTCTCACACTGGTTTCTGCTGTCCAGATGCTGCTCCCGTAGCTCGGTTGGTAGCACACTCAACTTTTCACACTGGTTTCTGCTGTCCAGATGCTGCTCCCGTAGCTCGGTTGGTAGCACACTCAACTCTCACACTGGTTTTGCTGTCCAGATGCTGCTCCCGTAGCTCGGTTGGTAGCACACTCAATCTCACACTGGTTTCGCTGTCCAGATGCTGCTCCCGTAGCTCGGTTGGTAGCACACTCAATCTCACAACTGGTTTCTGCTGTCCAGATGCTGCTCCCGTAGCTCGGTTGGTAGCACACTCAACTCTCACACTGGTTTCTGCTGTCCAGATGCTGCTCCCGTAGCTCGGTTGGTAGCACACTCAACTCTCACACTGGTTTCTGCTGTCCAGATGCTGCTCCCGTAGCTGGTTGGTAACCACTCAACTCTCACACTGGTTTCTGCTGTCCAGATGCTGCTCCCGTAGCTCGGTTGGTAGCACACTCAACTCTCACACTGGTTTCTGCTGTCCAGATGCTGCTCCCGTAGCTCGGTTGGTAGCACACTCAACTCTCACACTGGTTTCTGCTGTCCAGATGCTGCTCCCGTAGCTCGGTTGGTAGCACACTCAACTCTCACACTGGTTTCTGCTGTCCAGATGCTGCTCCCGTAGCTCGGTTGGTAGCACACTCAACTCTCACACTGGTTTCTGCTGTCCAGGTTTTCTGCTCCCCTAGCTCGGTTGGTAGCACACTCAACTCTCACATGGTTTCTGCTGTCCAGATGGCTGCTCCCGTAGCTCGGTTTGGTAGCACACTCAACTCTCACACTGGTTTCTGCTGTCCAGATGCTGCTCCCGTAGCTCGGTTGGTAGCACACTCAACTCTCACACTGGTTTCTGCTGTCCAGATGCTGCTCCCGTAGCTCGGTTGGTAGCACACTCAACTCTCACACTGGTTTCTGCTGTCCAGATGCTGCTCCGTAGCTCGGTTGGTAGCACACTAACTCTCACACTGGTTTCTGCTGTCCAGTGCTGCTCCCGTAGCTCGGTTGGTAGCACACTCAACTCTCCACTGGTTTCTGCTGTCCAGATGCTGCTCCCCTAGCTCGGTTGGTAGCACATCAACTCTCACACTGGTTTTGTGTCCAGAGCTGCTCCCGTAGCTCGGTTGGTAGCACACTCAACTCTCACACTGGTTTCTGCTGTCCAGATGCTGCTCCCGTAGCTCGGTTGGTAGCACACTCAACTCTCACACTGGTTTCTGCTTTTCCCGATGCTGCTCCCGAGCTCGGTGTAGCCCCACTCAACTCTCCACTGGTTTCTGCTGTCCCCGATGCTGCTCCCCTAGCTCGGTTGGTAGCACACTCAACTCTCACACTGGTTTTGCTGTCCAGATGTGCTCCGTAGCTCGGTTGGGAGCACACTCAACTCTCACATGGTTTTGCTGTCCAGATGCTGCTCCCGTAGCTCGGTTGGTAGCACACTCAACCCCTCACACTGGTTTCTGCTGTCCAGATGCTGCTCCCGTAGCTCGGTTGGTAGCCACTCAACTCTCACACTGGTTTCGGCTGTCCCGATGCTGCTCCCGTTAGCTCGGTTGGTAGCACACTCAACTCTCACACTGGTTTTGCTGTCCAGATGCTGCTCCCGTAGCTCGGTTGGTAGCACACTCAACTCTCACACTGGGTTTTCTGCTGTCCGATGCTGCTCCCGTAGCTCGGGGTTTGGGAGCACACTCAACTCTCACACTGGTTTCTGCTGTCCAGATGCTGCTCCCGTAGCTCGGTTGGGAGCACACTCAACTCTCACACTGGTTTCTGCTGTCCAGATGCTGCTCCCGTAGCTCGGTTGGTTGCACACTCAACTCTCCACACTGGTTTCTGCTGTCCAGATGCTGCTCCCGTAGCTCGGTTGGTAGCACACTCAACTCTCACACTGGTTTCTGCTGTCCGATGCTGCTCCCCGTAGCTCGGTTGGTAGCACACTCAACTCTCACATGGTTTCTGCTGTCCAGATGCTGCTCCCCTTTGCTCGGTTGGTAGCCCCACTCAACTTCACATGGTTTGCTGTCCAGATTGCTGCTCCCCTAGCTCGGTTGGTTGCACACTCAAATCTCACACTGGTTTCTGCTGTCCGATGCTGCTCCGTAGCTCGGTTGGTAGCACACTCAAAATCTCACACTGGTTTCTGCTGTCCAGATGCTGCTCCCGTAGCTCGGTTGGGAGCACACTCAAAATCTCCACTGGTTTCTGCTGTCCAGATGCTGCTCCCGTAGCTCGGTTGGTAGCACACTCAACTCTCACACTGGTTTCTGCTGTCCAGATGCTGCTCCCGTAGCTCGGTTGGTAGCACACTCAACTCTCACACTGGTTTCTGCTGTCCAGATGCTGCTCCCCTAGCTCGGTTGGTAGCACACTCAACTTCACACTGGTTTGTCGCTGTCCAGATGCTGCCCCGTAGCTCGGTTGGTAGCACACTCAAAATTCACACTGGTTTTGCTGTCCAGATGCTGCTCCCGTAGCTCGGTTGGTAAGCACACTCAACTCTCACACTGGTTTCTGCTGTCCAGATGCTGCTCCCGTAGCTCGGTTGGTAGCACACTCAACTCTCACACTGGTTTCTGCTGTCCAGATGCTGCTCCCGTAGCTCGGTTGGTAGCACACTCAACTCTCACACTGGTTTCTGCTGTCCAGATGCTGCTCCCGTAGCTCGGTTGGTTTGCACACTCAACTCTCCACTGGTTTCTGCTGTCCAGAATGCTGCTCCCGTAGCTCGGTTGGTGCACACTCAACTCTCACACTGGTTTCTGCTGTCCAGATGCTGCTCCCGTAGCTCGGTTGGGAGCACACTCAACTCTCACACTGGTTTCTGGCTGTCCCGATGCTGCTCCGTAGCTCGGTTGGTAGCACACTCAAAACTCTCACACTGGTTTCTGCTGTCCAGATGCTGCTCCCCTAGCTCGGTTGGTAGCACACTCAAAATCTCACACTGGTTTCTGCTGTCCAGATGCTGCTCCCGTAGCTCGGTTGGTAGCACACTCAACTCTCACACTGGTTTCTGCTGTCCAGTGCTGCTCCCGTAGCTCGGTTGGTAGCACACTCAACTCTCACACTGGTTTCTGCTGTCCAGATGCTGCTCCCGTAGCTCGGTTGGTAGCACACTCAATCTTCCACATGGTTTCTGCTGTCCAGATGCTGCTTTCCGTAGCTCGGTTGGTAGCACACTCAACTCTCACACTGGTTTCTGCTGTCCAGATGCTGCTCCCGTAGCTCGGTGGTAGCACACTCAACTCTCACACTGGTTTTGCTGTCCAGATGCTGCTCCCGTAGCTCGGTTGGTAGCACACTCAACTCTCACACTGGTTTCTGCTGTCCAGATGCTGCTCCCGTAGCTCGGTTGGTAGCACACTCAATCTCACCACTGGTTTCTGCTGTCCAGATGCTGCTCCCGTAGCTCGGTTTGGTTTGCACACTCAACTCTCACACTGGTTTCTGCTGTCCAGATGCTGCTCCGTGCTCGGTTGGTAGCACACTTTAACTCTCACACTGGTTTCTGCTGTCCAGATGCTGTCCCGTAGCTCGGGTTTGGTAGCACACTCAACTTCACACTGGTTTCTGCTGTCCAGATGCTGCTCCCCTAGCTGGTTGGTAGCACACTCAATCTCACACTGGTTTCTGCTGTCCAGATGCTGCTCCCCTTTGCTCGGTTGGTAGCACACTCAACTCTCACACTGGTTTCTGCTGTCCAGATGCTGCTCCCCTAGCTCGGTTGGTAGCACACTCAACTTCTCAACTGGTTTCTGCTGTCCCGATGCTGCTCCCGTAGCATCGGTTGGTAGCACACTCAACTCTCACACTGGTTTCTGCTGTCCAGATGCGGGTCCCGTAGTCGGTTGGTAGCACACTCAAAATCTCACACTGGTTTTTGCTGTCCAGATGCTGCTCCGTAGCTCGGTTGGTAGCACACTCAACTCTCACATGGTTTCTGCTGTCCAGATGCTGCTCCCGTAGCTCGGTTGGTAGCAACTCAACTCTCACACTGGTTTCTGCTGTCCAGATGCTGCTCCCCTAGCTCGGTTGGTAGCACACTCAACTCTCCATGGTTTCGCTGTCCAGATGTGCTCCCGTAGCTCGGTTGGTAGCACACTCAACTCTCACCCCTGGTTTCTGCTGTCCAGATGCTGCTCCGTAGCTCGGTTGGTAGCACACTCAACCCCTCCCCACTGGGTTTTTGCTGTCCAGTGCTGCTCCCGTAGCTCGGTTTTGGGAGCACACTCAACTTCACACTGGTTTTGCGTCCAGATGCTGCTCCGTAGCTCGGTGGTAGCACACTCAATCTCCACACTGGTTTCTGCTGTCCAGATGCTGCTCCCGTAGCTCGGTTGGTAGCACACTCAACTTCAAACTGGTTTCTGCTGTCCGATGCTGCTCCCGTAGCTCGGTTGGTAGCACACTCAACTTCTCACCCCTGGTTTCTGCTGTCCAGATGCTGCTCCGTAGCTCGGTTGTGCACACTCAACTCTCTCACATGGTTTCTGCTGTCCAGATGCTGCTCCCGTAGTCGGTTGGTAGCACACTCAACTCTCCACACTGGTTTCTGCTGTCCAGATGCTGCCCGTAGCTCGGTTGGTGCACACTCAACTCTCACACTGGTTTCTGCTGTCCAGATGCTGCTCCCGTAGCTCGGGTGGTAAGCACATAACTCTCACACTGGTTTCTGCTGTCCAGATGCTGCTCCCGTAGCTCGGTTGGTAGCACACTCAACTCTCACATGGTTTCTGCTGTCCAGATGCTGCTCCGTAGCTCGGTTGGTAGCACCACTCAACTCTCACACTGGTTTCTGCTGTCCCGATGCTGCTTCCCCTAGCTCGGTTGGTGCACACTCAACTCTCACACTGGTTTCTGCTGTCAAGTGCTGCTCCCGTTTGCTCGGTTGGTTGCCACTCAACTCTCAACTGGTTTCTGCTGTCCAGATGCTGCTCCCGTAGCTCGGTTGGTAGCACACTCAACTTCACACTGGTTTCTGCTGTCAGATGTGCTCCCGTAGCTCGGTTGGTGCACACCTCAACTCTCACACTGGTTTCTGCTGTCCAGATGCTGCTCCCGTAGCTCGGTTGGTAGCACACTCAACTCTCACACTGGTTTCTGCTGTCCAGATGCTGTCCCGTAGCTCGGTTGGTAGCACACTCAACTCTCACTGGTTTCTGCTGTCCAGATGCTGCTCCCGTAGCTCGGTTGGTAGCACACTCAACTCTCACAATGGTTTTGCTGTCCAGATGCTGCTCCCGTAGCTCGGTTGGTAGCACATCAACTCTCACACTGGTTTTTGCTGTCCAGATGTGCTCCCGTGCTCGGTTGGTAGCACACTCAACTCTCACACTGGTTTCTGTGTCCCGATGCTGCTCCCGTAGCTCGGTTGGTAGCACACTCAACTCTCACACTGGTTTCTGCTGTCCAGATGCTGCTCCGTAGCTCGGTTGGTTAGCACACTCAACTCTCACATGGTTTCTGCTGTCCAGATGCTGCTCCGTAGCTCGGTTGGTAGCACACTCAACTCTCACACTGGTTTCTGCTGTCCAGTGGCCTCCCGTAGCTAGGTTGGGAGCACACTCAACTCTCACACTGGTTTCTGCTGTCCAGATGCTGCTCCCGTAGCTCGGTTGGTAAACACACTCAACTCTCACACTGGTTTCTGCTGTCCAGATGCTGCTCCCGTAGCTCGGTTGTGGTAGCACACTCAACTCTCACACTGGTTTCTGCTGTCCAGATGCTGCTCCCGTAGCTCGGTTGGTAGCACACTCAACTCTCACATGGTTTCTGCTGTCCAGATGCTTTTCCCGTAGCTCGGTTGGTAGCACACTCAACTCTCACATGGTTTTGCTGTCCCGAGGGTGCTCCCGGTAGCTCGGTTGGTAGCACACTCAACTCTCACATGGTTTCTGCTGTCCCGATGCTGCTCCCGTGCTCGGTTGGAAAACACACTCAACTCTCACCCCTGGTTTCTGCTGTTTCCCGATGCTGCTCCCGTAGCTCGGTTGGTAGCACACTCAACTCTCACACCTGGTTTCTGCTGTCCAGATGCTGCTCCCGTAGCTCGGTTGGTTAGCACACTCAACTCTCACATGGTTTCTGCTGTCCAGATGCTGCTCCCGTAGCTCGGTTGGTAGCACACTCAACTCTCACACTGGTTTCTGCTGGTCCAGATTTCTGCTCCCGTAGCTCGGTTGGTAGCACACTAACTCTCACACTGGTTTCTGCTGTCCAGATGCTGCTCCCGTTTGCTCGGTTGGTAGCACACTCAACTCTCACACTGGTTTCTGCTGTCCCGATGCTGCTCCCCTAGCTCGGTTGGTAGCACACTCAAAACTCTCACAAATGGTTTCTGCTGTCCCGATGCTGCTCCGTAGCTCGGTTGTAGCACACTCAACTTCACACTGGTTTCTGCTGTCCAGATGCTGCTCCCGTAGCTCGGTTGGTAGCACACTCAACTCTCACACTGGTTTCTGCTGTCCAGATGCTGCTCCCGTTAGCTCGGTTGGTTAGCACACTTTAACTCTCACACTGGTTTCTGCTGTCCAGATGCTGCTCCCGTAGCTCGGTTGGTAGCCCCATCAACTCTCACACTGGTTTCTGCTGTCCAGATGCTGTCCCGTAGCTCGGTTGGTAGCACACTAACTCTCACACTGGTTTTCTGCTGTCCAGATGCTGCTCCCGTAGCTCGGTTTGGGAGCACACTCAATCTCACATGGTTTCTGCTTTTCCAGTGCTGCTCCCGTAGCTGGTGGTAGCACACTCAACTTTTCACATGGTTTCTGCTGTCCAGATGCTGCTCCGTTAGCTCGGTTGGTAGCACATCAACTCTCACATGGTTTTTTGCTGTCCAGTGTGCTCCCGTAGCTCGGTTGGTAGCACACTCAACTTCACACTGGTTTCTGCTGTCCAGATGCTGCTCCCGTAGCTCGGTTGGTGACACTCAACTCTCACCCCTGGTTTCTGCTGTCCAGATGCTGCTCCCGTAGCTCGGTTTGGGAGCACACTCAACTCTCACACTGGTTTTCTGTGTCCAGATGCTGCTCCCCTAGCTCGGTTGGTAGCACATCAACTCTCACACTGGTTTCTGCTGTCCAGATGCTGCTCCCCTAGCTCGGTTGGTAGCACACTCAACTCTCACACTGGTTTCTGCTGTCCAGATGCTGCTCCGTAGCTCGGTTGGTAGCCCCACTCAACTTCACATGGTTTTGCTGTCCAGATTTCTGCTCCGTAGCTCGGTTGGTAGCACACTCAACTCTCACACTGGTTTCTGCTGTCCCGATGCTGCTCCCCTAGTCGGTTGGTAGCACATCAACTCTCACACTGGTTTCTGCTGTCCAGATGATGCTCCCGTAGTCGGTTTGGGAGCACAATCAACTCTCAAACTGGTTTTTTGCTGTCCAGATGCTGCTCCCCTAGCTCGGTTGGTGCACACTCAACTCTCAACATGGTTTCTGCTGTCCAGATGCTGCTCCCGTAGCTCGGTTGGTAGCACACTCAACTCTCACACTGGTTTTGCTGTCCAGATGCTGCCCACTGCTCGGTTGGTAGCACACTCAACTCTTTACATGGTTTCTGCTGTCCAAAATGCTGCTCCCGTAGCTCGGTTGGTAGCACACTCAACTCTCACACTGGTTTCTGCTGTCCAGATGCTGCTCCCGTAGCTCGGTTGGTAGCCACTCAACTCTCACACTGGTTTCTGCTGTCCAGATGCTGCTCCCCTAGCTCGGTTGGTAGCACACTCAACTCTCACACTGGTTTCTGCTGTCCAGATGCTGCTTCCGTAGCTGGTTGGTAGCACACTCAACTCTCACACTGGTTTTGCTGTCCAGATGCTGCTCCCGTAGCTCGGGTTTGGTTTGCACACTCAACTCTCACACTGGTTTCTGCTGTCCAGATGCTGCTCCCGTAGCTCGGTTGGTGCACACACTCAACTCTCACACTGGTTTTCTGCTGTCCAGATGCTGCTCCCGTAGCTCGGTTGGTAGCACACTCAACTCTCAAATGGTTTTTTGCTGTCCAGATGCTGCTCCCCTAGCTCGGTTGGTAGCACACTCAACTCTCACACTGGTTTTGCTGTCCAGATGCTGCTCCCGTAGCTCGGTTGGTAGCACACTCCAACTCTCACTGGTTTCTGCTGTCCCGATGCTGCTCCGTAGCTCGGTTGGTAGCCACTCAACTCTCACACTGGTTTCTGCTGTCCAGATGCTGCTCCCGTAGCTCGGTTGGTAGCACACTCAACTCTCACACTGGTTTCTGCTGTCCAGATGCTGCTCCCGTAGCTCGGTTGGTAGCACACTCAACTCTCACACTGGTTTCTGTGTCCCAGATGCTGTCCCGTAGCTCGGTTGGTAGCACACTCAAACTCTCACACTGGTTTTGCTGTCCAGATGCTGCTCCCGTAGCTCGGTTGGTAGCCACTCAACTCTCACACTGGTTTTTGCTGTCCCGATTTCTGCTCCCCTAGCTCGGTTGGTAGCACACTCAACTCTCACACTGGTTTCTGCTGTCCAGATGCTGCTCCGTTTGCTCGGGTTTGGGGACACTCAACTCTCCCCACTGGTTTCTGCTGTCCAGATGCTGTCCGTAGTTTGGTTGGTAGACACTCAACTCTCACACTGGTTTCTGCTGTCAAGATGCTGCTCCCGTAGCTCGGTTTGGTAGCACACTCAACTCTCACACTGGTTTCTGCTGTCCAGATGCTGCTCCCGTTGCTCGGTTGGTAGCACACTCAACTCTCACACTGGTTTCTGCTGTCCAGATGCTGCTCCCGTAGCTCGGTTTGGTAGCACACTCACTCTCACACTGGTTTTCTGCTGTCCAGATGCTGCTCCCCTAGCTTTGGTTGGTAGCACATCAACTTTTCCCCACTGGTTTCTGCTGTCCAGATGCTGCTCCGTAGTCGGTTGGTGCACCCCTCAACTCTCACACTGGTTTTGCTGTCCAGATGCTGCTCCCGTAGCTCGGTTGGTAGCACACTCAACTCTCACACTGGTTTCTGCTGTCAGATGCTGCTCCCGTAGCTCGGTTGGGAGCACACTCAACTCTCACACTGGTTTCTGCTGTCCAGATGCTGCCCCCCGTAGCTCGGTTTGGTAGCACACTCAACTCTCACACTGGTTTCTGCTGTCCAGATGCTGCTCCGTAGCTCGGTTGGTAGCACACTTCAAACTCTCACACTGGTTTCTGCTGTCCAGATGCTGCTCCGTAGCTCGGTTGGTAGCACACTCAACTCTCACATGGTTTCTGCTGTCCAAGTGCTGCTCCCGTAGCTCGGTTGGTAGCACCTCAACTCTCACACTGGTTTCTGCGTCCAGATGCTGTCCCGTAGCTGGTTGGTAGCACACTCAACTTCACCCCTGGTTTTCTGCTGTCCAGATGCTGCTCCCGTAGCTCGGTTGGTAGCACCCCTTCAACTCTCAAAATGGTTTCTGCTGTCCAAGATGCTGCTCCCGTAGCTCGGTTGGTAGCACACTAAACTCAAGGGTTTTTTTTGTATTGTTCCAGTCACGGAATTGTGCCTTTTGTCTTTAGAAAAATAAATTTTTAACATTGGCTTTCACTGGTCTTCTGAGTACGAAATGGGTTCGGTTTCGATACATCATAAACCAATTTTGTGATGTACTATACACAATTATTTAATAAAATGGGAAAAACAACTTTCAGTTTATATTTTATTGATTATTAAATGTTGGAACTCTGCATAACAATAGTAAATCGCTATCATGTGATTACCTTTTTACGAGTCGGGCTTGGTGTTTGTCAGAAGTTTCATATACAGTAACATTAACACGATCAAAAATGGGAATTTGTGGTAAGATTTATATACCAATAAATCACACTCTGCTAGTAAGAAAACATCTGAATATGCTTACGGCCCAGATCTCAGGAGTGACAGAGGAGAAAAATTTCTGCCCTGATATGCCACCAGAATAAGACATTCCAGTCAAAGACTATTCCACTTACTATAGTTTTGTTAGTTTCAAAATAAAAATTTAAAATGGAAAGAGTGGTAAGTAATAATATTTTTACATTGCGTGGCAT